GAGAGCCCCTACTATCAATCCCTCAACATTCAAAAAATGATGCAAAGGTGTGATCTCCACAAAACTGGATTTTGTAGTGTGTACAACCTGATCAGAATATGTAAAGGTGATGGGTGAATGGAAAATGTAATTTCTAACCTATATGGGACAATTCAAATATTTGGTTATGCCTAACAGTCCATCCATATTCCAAGCTTTTGTGACAGATGTTCTGTCTGACTTTCTGAATACATTTGTTATCGCCAACATAGATTACATTCTCATCCATTCTTCCACCCCCAAACAGCTTTTGGTTCATGTCCGCATGGTCCTGCAACAGCTCCATAACCACTATTTCTATGTTAAGGGGGAAAATGTGAGTTTCATTGTCATACCTTGAAAATCCTAGGTTGTGTCATCCAGTCTGCATCGGTACCCATGGATGAAACCAAGGTAATCGGCAGTGGAGGAGTGGCCTGTACCTCGCATGGTAAAAGAGCTCCAACATTTTCTAGGGTTTGCTAATTTTTACTGATGTTTCATCAGAGGCTTCAGTCAGGTGGCCGCCCCTTTGTCCCTGACATGGGGAAAGCGGATGGCCCTGCAGTGGACCTCAGAAGCTACCACAGCATTCTGCAAACACCAGGATACATTATGCTCTGCCCTGGCTTTCCTTCAACCCGACCCAGAGCTTCCTTTCAAAGTGGAGGTCATGCTTCGGAGGTATAGGGTCAGTGCTGTGCTGCTCCAATGGCACAGGACCACTGGAAATTGACATTTGTGCACTTATTTTTCCTGAAACTATGATGTGGGTAACCGTGAACTGCTAACCATCAAGCTGGCCCTCGAAGAATGGCGCCACTGGCTGGAGGGAGTCAAGCACCCATTCATCGTGTTTACAGACAACCGCAACCTCAAATACCTCCAGAATGCTAAGCAATTGAATGCCCGACAAGCAAAATAGTCTTTATTCTTTACTCGTTTTAACTTTAACCCTCTGGGGACTAGGGGTAGGGACACACTTTCACTGACTGGGGCATGATCACACATTTCTTTCAGTATCATAAACTTAATTCATGGCAAATAAATTATTTCTTATATATTTATTTTGATATTACACTCATCTTAATTTTAATGTATATTGTAAGTATGTCAGATTTATGTTAAGTTTGTTATTTGACATCAAAGTATAGACATTGCAAAATGCAGCTTGGAACACTTGCAGAAACATTATAAAAGTACACATTACCCTGGCACTGTTTTAATAGTGCCAGTTTGTTTTGATCCCAGATATCTGATCACCAAAGTCTTGGGTACATGAAGATGACTAAATGGTGTAGTTGCAACATTCAGTTGGATAAATAAATAAGAAAAAGCTAACTCACGTCACTATTTTTGGCCTCCTTCCATTGAATATGTAGGAGTTGTCAGGTGTATGCAGTAGCCATTCACATCACCCCCTTTTATGGCGCTGATGAGGATGTATCTGGATCGTGTTTCACTGCTGCGTTGTTCACCAAATTACCATGCGAATGCGATTTGAATACGTGCTAATGCCGCTATTTAGAATGTGAACAGTGGTACTACACACCCCTGCTGCAGGTAAAACAAAGGTGACATGGTTTACTTTTTTGCCTATTTAACCTCATTTTAAAAACTTTAATACTTCTGACAATGGACGTTTTGAAAAGAAGACAGATTAGGGATTTAGTCAGCGTTTTTTTCATGATTCTACATAAAGATTTCAGTGAGATATAAACTGAAATACACGAGAAAAATACGCAACATAGCCGACAATGCCCTTGTCCCTAGAGTTGTCTCATCTACCCAGCTTGAAGATCCAGAAGGTTGATACCCTGTGCCAACAACATGATCTGCCAGAGGCTGATGATCTCCCCTCCACAGTTCCGTCACTGTCCTGCTTTGTGGGCCCTGTGGTATGGGCTCTGGACGTATCCATCCAAGCTGCCAACTGATGCCATCCTCCACCTCCCTCCTGTCCCACTGGTAAGGTCTTCGTACCTCCCTGGCTTCGTTCAGCAGTCCTCCAGTGAGTTTACACCTCCCACAGCTCAGGTCATCCTGGGGCTGCCATTACTGCAAGACTCCCCTTCCAGTGTTGTTAGAGGCCAGGATGGTGGAAGAGCATTGAGGAATACGTCGCCTCCTGTCCTGAATGTTCTCAGCTGAAGTCCACCAATTCACCAGTCTACTTCAACCACTGCCTGTCCCTTCTCAGCCATAGTCACACCTGACCCTGGACTTCATGACCCACCTCCCTTCATCATAATTCTAAAAATGGTGAACCTAATATATGTTACCTTATCCCACTCCCCAAGCTGCCCTCCACAAGTGAATTGTCAGACCTCCTGATTACTTTGGTGTTCTGATACTACGGCATCCCCAAAGATGGTCTCTGATTGTGGTACCCAATTCATTTCCCAAGTATTTAAAGCCCTTTGTTCAAAACTAGGCATTACCCTCAGCCTGACGTCGGGTTACCACCTGAATCTAACGGCCAATCAGGAGGTATCCAAGGCTCTCCAGCTTCTGTGTAAGGGTCGTCCCACAGACAGGGCCCGACACCTTCCATGGGCAGAATATACCCTTAACGCCAGGGAGAATCTTGTGACTTATTTTTCTCCTTTTCAGTGTATATTAGGTTTTCAACCTCAATTGTTTCCATGGAATACTCCACCCTGTTCCGTACCCCTAGTCGAGGAGTGCTACCAGGGTTGTAAAGCTGTGTGGTCCCAGACCCAAAATCTCTTGGAACGCTAGGACCAGCGACAAAAGCCTTTGCTGACCGACAACACTGCCCGGCTCCCATCTACTGCCCAGGACAAAGAGTGTGGCTGTCCATGAAAAATCTCAAGCTATCCACCTGTAAGAAGCCATCCCCATGGTTCATTGGCCCATTCAAGGTGATATGCTGAGTCAGTTCATTTCACCTTTAGTTGCCCAGTATGTACTGAATCTCTCCAACCTTTCACACCTCCCTCCTCAAAACTGTCCAGTACAGCTCAACACACTCGTACTTCCATGTTGGACGGAGCCCCCCCCCCCCGTCCTCTCTAATATCCCACCGTGACATTCAAGTCAGCACATAGTTGCATTTATATATGTGGAACTTGATTATTAAATATACCTTAGATCAGCTTGGATCAGTGGATGCAACTCAATCAGAGTTTTAACATGCTTAGGTACATACAATGTTGGTGGAGTTGTTGTCTTCTCACAAGTCAGTTTACTTTATATGCACTGCTTTGACTGGTAAATAGAGCGCTCTTTGTCAGGGTCAGCACCCGTCTGCCCCAACCTTTCATATCTTCTCCCCTTTTGGCTAAGCAGGCATTTCTGGCCATTGTGTCCTCCCTGTGCCCAAGTCCTTTGTATGTTTCCACATCTCCTCAGATTGCTGCGTGGTGTTATGAGCTGAGCATGTGGTTACTAACTCCTCATTTGTGTGTTTGAATTCAGCTACCTCTGTTTTTGTATTTAGTAGATTTTGTTCCCCAGTGTTTCCTTTGTATTAGTTTTTCTAGTTCCTGAGTTTTGTGGTTTGCATTCTGTTTTGGTTTTTGCTTTGTGCCCTTGGTTGGGTTTACCTGTCTTTGTTATTTCCCTAGTGTTGGATTCTGTTTCCTAGTTTCTGAGTTCCGAAAATCTTTCTGAGTTCCATGGTTTAGTTTATTAGATTCACCTGTGTGCTGTTTCCCTGAGCCTCTTGGTTGTTCTCCCCTGTCCTGTGTTTCTTTGTTAACCCTCCATATTTAAGTACAGTGGTACCTCGGTTCTCGAACTTAATCCGTTCCGGACTCTGAATCGAATCCTAAAAAGTACGAGTTCTGATCGAATTTTTCCCATAAGAAATAATGGAAAACCAATTAATTGGTTCCCGACCCCCCAAAATTACACTTAAATATGTTTTTTTTTTTTTTTTAGCATTCAACCACAAAATGAACAGGATAAAACAAGAAGAGCATTTTTTTCTTAATGGCTTCCAAAATAAAGATCTTATCCCAACATTACCCCTGTCCTGCCCTGATCGTCTGCTCCTTCCGTGTGCCACGCCCCCTCGTTAACCTCGTGTGGGATCCCCATGTGTTCAACTGTTTCTGGTTGTTGTCATTAGTCCTCTGTATTAAGTCGGCGTTTCAATTTGTTTCCCCAGTCCGGTCATTGGGTGTGTTCGACTTGCTTACAGCGCTGGCTTAAAGCAACGCATTCTGATCCTGACGCAATGCATTACGGTTAGATGCATTGCGACCTCTCACCCAGCTGCACAAACTGGAACCGCCTCCATGACGACACACCTTTGCCCTTATTGGCTGAAGAGTTTAGTTACATGCATGATGTTTGTATCCCAGGCAGTTCCAATGCGTAATCTGCTATTTCTCCCGAATATCACGTAAAGCAGTGAGAACTGGTTTTCAGTTAATTTACCTGGTAAAATAAAATTTAAGTAAATGACATAAATGCTCTAATAGTACACGTAAGTTAGTGGTTTATTTATTGTTAGTTACTGTAATGTTGCACTGCTTTATTTGGTTAATCATCCAGTCTGTGAGGAAGGCATTCAAGTAAGAATTGCATTGTAGTATGACTCATTTCTTGGCGCGTACAATTTATATTAGGTCAGCGTTCACAGGTTCGACTTCTGATATTCAGATCAAGTTCTAGGTCAAACTGGTTTGTTCGACTTTCAAGAAATTCGAGTTCTAGTGAGTTCGAGAACTGAGGTACCACTGTATCTGATCCTGCTCTGTTCCCCAAGAAGTCATTGACTGTTTTCCTGATGTTGGTTATTCTGATCTGCTGTGTGATATGTTTGCATCCCTGCCTGCTCTCTGTGATACCAGTTTCCCGCTTATAGATATTTTTGGTTCTGTTAGTTTTCTTCGTACCCCCTTTTAGTTTAGACCTCTCATGGTCCATTTTGTTTGTAGTGCTTCTCGTGTTTTCAGTTCCTGTAATAAACCCCCTGTTTTTGTTCAGCTGCAAGTGGATCGTCCCCTTCCTTTCAAGTTTCAAAAGGTTTATTCATCACATAGACAGTTGTACACATACAAACACATAGTGAAATGTTACCCTGCAAGTCTAGAAATATGAAAGGTTGGACAATTGTGCAACAGTATAAAAAAAAAAAAAATTCAGATCAAATTACTTAAAATGAGACTTGTCATATCACAGTAAAAAGCAAAATGCACTGAATATTAGCAAATAATTCTTAAAACTCTTATTCTTAAAATTCTTAATTTAAGCACACTGGAAAAATGAAGTCCAAGGAATAAGAAAATTGATCATTAAAATAAGTGGAAACTACTTACTGCTAGAGGAGTATGATTATGCTGTTACATGAAATACACCTTGAAATAAGTAAACCTAAACCAATATTTAGACCGACTTTTTTTCAAGAACATCTTAAAACAGGAAATCACAACCATGAAAAGTCAGATTTCCATCAACATTTATTACCAACCACAGAAGACACCACAGAGCCTTCACATCAATAAGTGTCCTACGGAAAAAATATAAATATTATAAAATAATGGTCATTCCATAACCCACTGCAATATATTTTTCCACAGAAAAGGCATTAACACAAACAACAAAATTCAACGTGCACTTTTTAGGCTAGGCAGAGAATAAGTGAGAGAGAGAGAGAAAAAAACAGGGTGACTGAGAAAGTGAGAGACAAATAGAGCACTGCGACCAGTCCATGCACTAGAACAAAAAACGCTATATAACATACAACAACTATGAAATGAAAAAACAGGACATGAAAAACCCTCAACAGAGGAAACGAAAGAAAAACTTTATCAGGTACAGATACAGTACTCTAGAACGCTAATAACAGACCTGATGTTCTATGCATTTCTATTTCTTAATCAATGATTTCCACTCAGTGATTGCTTTCTAATACAAGCTTGTGGCATTTTGATCATGTATGGCATCGCCTAGTACCTCTGTTTGAATGACTGACAGCAAGGTTGCAACACATTTTGGATATGTCAAGTGCAAAGAGTGGTAGTACGCCATTAACATTCCATGAAAGAAATCCTCCTTTGGTAGGGTGCTTACAGGAGTATTTCCCCTTGGCAAGAATGCAAGCTGTTCCATCAAAGAGTAACACTTGGTTGAATAGAGGTCGCTTCTCCTAGTTCAGCGCTGGATCTTCCATTGGCTACAATCAAATGACAAGGACAGTTCAAAGTGGATTATGAGAGTTTACAACAGCAGCAGCAAAGTACTAAATTCAAGTACCTATTAGCTAGGGGCTACATTAACAGAGTACCAACATAATTTACTTACCTGAATTATGTGAAGCAGTGCTTCACTGGCACTCCCAATTCGCTTTGGTGGTGGAGTTGGTGAGGGAAAAAGTACCGGGAGTACTGTTAGAAGGTCAATGGTGAAATCCACTATCTAACCAAATAGAAAAGCAACATAATGCCAATTTAAAATAAATCAATCAGCTGGCCACATACACCAGTACTTCCCAATCCTGTTCATAGAGGACTGCCCTGCATGTTCTTCTGGTCCTCCTGTCCTAATAAATTAAATCCTCATTGATCACTTCATCAGCCAAAGTTGTATTCAATCTACTGTTCAAGGGTAGCATGGTTATCTCGTTTCAATTTCAGTTCAGTTATGCTTTATTGTCATCACCATACTCAAATCACAGAGGAAGCTGCTTATTAAACATCAAGGCCAGTTGTTGTCCAAGAGCAGGATTGGGAACCGACAGATTACATTGCATTTGTTCAGCAACATACCTCCCTGCAGGCTCAAGGGGAAAAGGAGTTTGAGGGCCTTCTTCCATACACCATAGAACTGCACCTTTTCACAGAAGTCTGCCCATCTTCCCTTTGTTTCATCTATGTATTTAGAGTTGGTACCATCAAGGATACAATGCAGCTTGTCCATTGCCTTTCCAAGAAGAAATTGCCTTATAGTTACTCTACCACTGTGCATGTTTGATTCAACACAGTATGCATAGAAACAAGCACACAAAATTACCGTGAACTAAGAAACGTACATTTTGAGTATCTTTGAAGCATGGATATGCCTCAAAGATTTTTTTGGCTCTCTCTTCTTCCCTTACCTCATCTGAATCAATGAAGGCCCGTCTGGCTTCAAACTCGAGGTCCAAAAGTTGAACAACGTTGCTTTGGTTCGGTTTTGAGTTGAGTTGGGTTTATTGTACATGTTGCTCAGTGTTTTGTAGTACCTTGCCTGGTGTTTCAGACCTTCATGACCTGCTGATACAACAGAAGATGTAAGCACTTTTGTATCAGCAGCATAAAAAATAAATCATATCACACTTTTCGTACATACCTGGACTAAGGTTTGCATCACTAAGGTCATCGTTGCTTGGAAGAATTACGGTTGAAGCTGTTGAACCACTTGAATCTTAATCTGTCTCATCTTCTATACTTGTACTAAAGAGAGACCTCTTTGCAACCCCTCGTTTTGGCACACGGCCCTGCCTCTTTCTTGGTGACTTCATATTCTGGAGTCACTTGTACATTTTGGAGTAGATGGTCAGCTGTGGAAAAAGAATGTTATATATTTTGTTGTTGACACCTCTATCCAGTCTTAGGTTTTATTCAACATCAAATTAAATGTTAAGAAATTGACACTTACATACGGCACGTCTCCACCATCCCGTAGCATAGGATAATAGTAAATTATCTTCTGTGACATTACTCTCAGTTCGTGCTTGGAGGGATATGGCACTTCCTTTCCCAGGGGACTAGCATGAAGGATTGCAACCATGCTGGTGATTGTGTTTCTTATAAGTCTGCAAATAAGCTCCTTTCACATCTTACAGTCCTTTTCCTTTCCACTGCGGAGCAATGCAAAATACTGGATGTGCACCATGTATAATTCTGAATCTGTGTACACCACATATTCTGGTGGATCTGGCAATTTCACTGTTTTGGCCATCGTTTCATTTATGGGAATGGAGCTCTGAGGCTGGGAGGGCGGCATGGCACTGGTTGATGGCACAATCCCACTTCCACTACAACTGGTCAGTAGAATTCTCACAATATTGGAGATGTGTAGGCAAAGAAAATACATAAATACATGGGACACATCTGGTAACACATTGATGAGGGTTTTTAAAACCCCCTCATCAATACTGGCAGCTGTAAAATTAGCAAGATGTAAATCAGTTTTGATTTCAGTTGTATGAGTTACTCAATACAGCTATGATGTTAAAATCAGTATGATGTTAAAACAGGCTTATCAGACTATAGGGGATATATAGTTTATGAAGACTTTTAGAAGTGGTGGCAGGATGGCACAGTGGTTAGCACTGCTGCCTCACAGCAAGAAGGTCCTGTGTTCAGTCCCAGGTCTGTCAGGGTCAGTCCCTGCTGTGGTCCTACCATGTCCCTTCCCTGTTTGACCAGCAGGCATTGCTGGTCATCCCATCCTTCTTGTTAGTCTTTGTTCTTCCCTGTTACCTGTCTGTTACCTGTCTGGTCATGTGGCTCAATGTGTTGTCTGTGTACCCTTCTGTCCTGTGTTTGAATCCCACCTCCTCTGTTTTTGTATTTTGCTCCCTAGTGTTTCATTTTAGTTTCTTTAGTTCTTGTCTGATTTTGTAGTTGGGTTTGGTTTTGTTCCTTGTGCCCCTGCTTGTGTCTTTACCTGTTTAAGTCCCTAGTGTTGGTTTCTGTTCCCTGTGTCCTTGGTTAGTTCTTAGTTTCCCTGTTTTTTAGTTCCTTTGAGTTTATTAGTTTCACCTGTGCCCTGTTTCCCTGGTCTTTGTTAATTAGTCTCACCTGTCCTGTGTTAGTCTCATTACCCCTTAGTATTTTAGTTCCTGCTTCCGTTCAGTTCCCCAGTGGTTCATTGTTGTGTTCTGTGTGGGTTGTTGTTGGTCTGTATTGATGGTTGTTATTTCAGAGAGTCCTAGTATTAGTTGTCTATTTAGGTTTTGTTATTTAGTGTTGTTAATTAATCCCTTTTTGGTTTTTGACCCCTTGTGGTCTTTTTGGTTTTGTTGTGTTTGTACTGTTTTATGTCTTGTTTAATAAATCCCGTTTTTTTGTTCCTGGAGCCGCTAGTGGGTCGTCCACCCTTTTTTGTGCCTGATGCCTCGCTCCCGTGCCCGAGCCGCCCGCATCCATGACAGGGTCCTTACTGTGTGGAGTGTGCATGCTCTCCCTGAGTTTGTGTGGGTTTCTGCCAGGGGCTCTGATTTCCTCCCACAGTCCAAAAGTGTGCTGGGTAGGTTGATTGGTCAGTCTAAATTGGCCCTGTGAGTGTGGTTTTGTGTGTGCCCTGTGGTGTGTTGCCGACTGTCCAGGGTTGGTTCCCGCGATAGGCTCCAGTGATGGATGGATAGACGGACTTTTAGAATTTCTGCATAAATACAGAATTTTTTTAGTCAATAATCATAATCCAATTATTCATTGAGAAAAATTATTGTTTTAAATCACAAAGCTGTCCTCAAGAAATAAATACCGAGTATTTCACTTGAATTGTTGAAGGCAATCCAAGCATTGGCAAATATGTTGAACACATTTCATATAAGTCCAAGTCAAGTTTTAAGTCTTTCATCACAAATTCAAGTCAAATTTTATGGCTGTAATGAGCAGTCTTTCTTTAGCTACATGCCACCTCACTCACTGTTTGCATCGCAATTTGCGACTGTCCTTTGACCAGTTGCATTTGAATAATAAAATAAATCAATCAGCTGGCCACATACACCAGTACTGACGATCACAATCGTCCACTCACGTTGAATGTTAAGATGATTCCACACAGGCATTTTTCAACACTTTATTTTCACGCCGTCCTCACTGCTCGTAGATATTATGTTGTTAGCGCTTTGAATAAAGTCATTAGACCCTAATGTAATCATAAATGGCAGCGTTGCTGCTGTGCTTTATGCTGCCTCCACCAACTCCTCAGCAAGGAAAGTTGCTATTGGTTGTCCCAAAAGTCGCTAGAAGTCGCTAAATGACGCCATCGCCTAATTTGCATAATGTAATGTATTGATAATGGACGCTGTAGGAGAGAGGAATAATGTTGTGGGAGAGACAAAAGGTGGTTAAAAAACACCCTAAATACGTTTACAACTACAAATGAACTTTTTTCTGACGATTCTTGTTTTTTTATATCACAATTCCAACCCTCCTATATCCGGGCTTGGGGGCTATAAAAGTAGGATATGGGTGGTCATATTATTTCGAAAAGATATAAAATGTGACATGTTATGTTTTTCTCATATTAGCTTTATATTTGTCAGAGTAACAACGCAAATGGAATGACAAGCTGTTTCTTGCAAAAACAGTGCATTTTACTTTTCATTCCAAATAAAACACGGGGTTGCCGACTTCGTCCAGGTGGCTGGAGAGAGATTTTAAGTTCGAGATGTCTGCACACAAATGTAACAATTCTTATCTTGTAAATAGTCTGCTTTTGTACATACAAAATACACTTTTGACATAGCTAATTTTAGGTTTATAATGGAATAATATAGATTTGCCGTAATATTTCCTGCTTGAGTCTGAAAGCCATGCCAGACGCTTGAGATTTGGCAACCCTGAAAACGTACATTTTTTGTTTCACCTGAGTTGATTTATATAACAAATAACATTACTTTATACAGTTGTTAAAAAGCGGAAACTTCAACGAACATGAAATCACCTAAAAGAGAGGGAAGTTGATTTTTGGCTCTATACACTAATAGAATTGTAGTATTGGGGTAGTTATTTTGATGTTAAAAATGCAAAAATATAATGGTTGCACTTCCTGCTACTGAGCCATTGAGAAGTATTTCTTTTTCTTGATAATGGGTATAAATCCCTGATACCATTATTGGTCTTTTTCTTTGAACATATTTGAGAATTTCAGGTGAAACATTTAACAGCAAATAATAGCAAATAAAAAAATTACAAATGTTTATTTTACTATTTCAATCTTAATTGAGCACGCCTGGTGGCATTATAGCCTATGCACTTTTTCTTTGAAGTGATTATATTTTTGCACTAATGGCACTACTGATTTTACAGTACTCAGTTTCCAGGTAAATACACATATGTTTGTGTTTCAAATAAGAGTGAAATATGTGTATTTGCGTACTGCACAGTTAGACCTTAATACCATTGTGGAAGTAAAATTGGACATTGCTAGGTCCGGGAGGGGAGGCATATTGGGTCTGTTATGTCTTAGGCCTTAGGCAAGAAGACATTGTTTTGAATACTGTATGACCTCGCTTTGTGATACCTGCCTGCAGTTAGTTCCACAGACCCTGAAGAAAGCTTGGACCTTGGAGAGGCAGAGAGCGGAGCAAAGGGGGGGGGGAGAAACCACCTGCAGGAAGAGACTCGAAGCTGCCCCAACTGGTGCACATAGAATTATAGCTTAATAAAATAGTTGCAGTAGGCAGTATAAAATATGTTACGCGGTAGTGCAAATGTATAAGTAATCATGTTAATCATACTAATCATATGTTAACCATGTATTTGCAGTGATTCAATGACATCACATCAATGTATTAATAATTAATCAATGGAACACCCAAACATTAACAGTGATTCAATGTCATTTAATTAATATCTATATACATATCTCAAGTAGAGTCTAGAAGCCGAAAATTGAGCAAGGTGGGTGGATTTTACCTTGCTACCAAGGTGAACCAATAGAGCAGGAGAATTGTGTTTGTTATACATTTGAGCTTGGTTTGTTGGTGTTTTGTGACCAATCAGGACTTAGAAGTCCTTATTGGGAATTGGGAGTTATGGTTTATCAACTGGTTGCTCTGTGTGCTGGGTGTGACTTGGTATCGAGTGCCAGAGTGTGATGGGAGCACTTTGCTGAAATTGCTGGAATAAAAGAGATTTTCTTTACTCACCAAACTGAGAGATCCAGACTTTTATTCTAAGTGACTCTCTGTGTTATCAGAGAGGTTGATTTATAATTTTTCTACCACACCATTCCTTAACATTGGTTTCATTTCATGTTAGTGAACATAATGACTTTCAGAAATCAAAGGGAAACTTTAAACATTATACTTTGCACTTTTAATTTTAGTCGACTAAATCAACTTCAGTTTTAGTCGACTGTAATCTGATGATATTTAGTCATCTAAAACTAGACAGAGCTTAGATTCCAGGTGGCCTGAGACAAGGCCTATCTTGGTATGAGACCCCACACACACACACACACACACACACACACACACACACAGATAACGAGGGAGGCCAGCATTCCAACTTTTATGGCCCAAAGATTTAGGGACCTACGGACAGCAGAGTCCATCGACTTGGCACACAAACCCCCCCCTCCCCCGCACATCCTGCCTTACATACCACGGATTCACCAAACACCCTAAAGAAAGTTTCTTTTATGTTCAGCTTTTGTATACCTTGTATGTTTGTTTACTCATGATTGCTTGTCTCAATATCGAGGTTATGTTTGTTTGTGTCCTTAGACAAACGTAGTGTTGTGTGCCACCCTTATAACCATGTGTCATGGAGTATCACGTATTTTACCCCTCACACTTGAACACTTATATGAATTTGAATACATAAATATGTATAGCTACCACTGCATATATGTTCTCATGGTTATACCAGAAGAATCTTGAAAATTAAATTGTGTAACCAGGTATCTTAGTGTGTCCTAACTATCAGAGGTTCTTTCTTTGTTTAACGACACCCCCCCCCTTTTTTTTCTTCCACATTCCTCTGTGGCCCTTACCATTTCTTTGTCCTACTATTCTGCATTAAAAGAACTGAATTATCAATTCTGGAGAGCAGATCAATTCGGATAAGGCACACCAACCAAAATCTGTTGTTCCTAGATGTGCAATTTAAGTTGGTATTGCTACAAACTAACGGCCAAGCCTATCTAAGGGTAAGATGTGCTATTTGAATGTGAATATGTAATGTAATGTCTGTACAAATTACCCAAAGTGTAACATCTGTTTAGGTGCAACCCAAAACACTTGTACCATATACTGATGTGAGTCAGTAACATACACAATGTAAGAAATTGTGAATTAATTAATACAAATGGTATGAGGTGTGAACCGCCAGGCTGGTATGGAATGTTTGGTGTCAAACTGATGGAAAATCACTCCTGATTCCTGGTCAGTGGTTACCATGAAAGTGTATGTATCAAAAGTTACACCAGTGTAATGAAAATCATCATAAGATTTTAACAACTCTGAGCTATTAGTTAAGTTCTCCCCAAACGAGCTTGATGGGCCGAATGGCCTCCTCTCGTTTGTAAATTTCTTATGTTCTTATGTAGTAAAAGGGAATCAGTCTGGTCATAAATACCAAAAGGACTGCCACAGACATCCCTCCGAAAGCCCGCCAACTGTATGGTCAGCCATTAGTTCAGGTGTCAAATTCCTGGTCATCCCTATTCATGAACATTAGACCATAAAACCTGGCACTTCAGAACAAAGGGAAGAACATCAGCCTAGGACAGGGATCACCAACTGGCGGACTCCGGTCCGAATCCGGACCGCG